CTGAAGCACACTTGGGTTCTGCAGCAGGACAATGATCCAAAACACACCAGCAAGTCCACCTCTGAATGGAAAAGAACAACAAAATGAAGACTTTGGAGTGGCCTAGTCAAAGTCCTGACCTGAATCTGATTGAGATGTTGTGGCATGACCTTAAAAAAGCGGTTAAGGCTTTAAAACCCTCCAATGTGGCTGAATTACAACAATTCTGCAAAGATGTGTGGGCCAAAATTCCTCCGCAGCGCTGTAAAAGACTCATTGCCAGTTATCTCAAACGCTTGATTGCAGTTGTTGCTGATAAGGGTGGCCCAACCAGTTATTAGGTTTAGGGGGCAATCACTTTTTCACACAGGGCCATGTAGGTTTGGATTTTTTTTTCCCTTAATAATAAAAACCTTCATTTAAAAACTGCATTTTGTGTTTACTTGTGTTATCTTTGTTTAATATTTCAATTTGTTTGATGATCTGAAACATTTCAGTGCAAACACTTTTTCACACCACTGTGGTTAATTTATTGAGACCTACAGATGTCCTTGGTTGAGCTCTGGCTAGTTGCAAATGTGGGCCTCAAAGGAAAGTCTGCAAGTCTCATCATAGGAGCAGAAGAACAAACACTAGGAGGTGCAAACACATTGCTGGCCGGCCACCTGTGCTGGTCTTTGGGGGAACAGTTGCATCTGCAAAACAGCATTGACCACAATCAGGAGAAGCTCATTCACATGGATGATGTCACCATCATGGGAGACGTGGTGTTGCAAACTGACAGGACATCATTTTCCAACAAAATATATTTTCCATGATGTGTCAAAGAATTACGCAAATGTAGAAAATGAGAGAATCGTTGAGGCTGAGGATCTGGAGATGCAGAAGAGAAGGAAATGGAGCACAAGAGCAAGAAGAGAGACGCCAGTGGTAACCGGGACTCTGTGAACAATCAAGCAGGAGATTGCCAAGCGTCTCAAGACAATGCTCTGCAAAGGAAACAGCTGATCTCCAGCAAAGCCCTCTGTAAAGCATGGTCCATGTTCTCCTAAATGTGATAAACACACAGTGCCTGATTCACTGGATTTCAAGGCCTCTAGTATAAGGTGAGTCGATCACAAATACAGTAATGACAATTAAATGTCTGTGTATTTTTAAAATCTAACTACATTAGATACCTTGAATTTTAGTCTTATATCTATGCTTATCAATTTGCAGCTATCAAATCAGCTGAACAGCGTCAACAGATGTGTTCTGCCTTTTTTTCTCAGCTGCAGAAGAGAAATTAAAATGCCACATCCAATTAGTGCAAAAATCACTGCTACTGTACGTTGAAATGTGTAAATAGCACATTATTTTTGACTTAGTACTTTGCTGCCTGCTAAAATTTGGAGTTGATTTGGGAGATGTAAAGGAAATTTATAATTATCCACAATATTGAGATGAAAATAATGTTGAATTGACATAATAACAGACATCAGAAGATTTAGTTGCAGTTTATTATATTATCATAAGAATTGTTTGTGATCTAGGTGCTATCTTGCCTTAAAATAGTTCTTCTTTCCTACTTAAACACTTGTTGAGAAGTCCGCACAGCTCCTCAGGAAATTCATTGAAGCAACACGGTGATTTGTTTTATGGCACAGGCACATCAGCGGTCTTGAAGGGCTAAGAAGGGCTGCAGGCGTGTCCAGGAGGGAGTCTGAAGCTGCGTGTTTTGAGACCCCAATGGGTCTCTGTGGCTCTGAGGGTCCCCAGTGCACCCTTTGTGTGTCTACTACATGTACATGTGCTAGGTGAAGGGACAGATACTGTCCAGCGTCACCTCACAGCAGGCAATTCCTAATAAGGACTAAAGCGTTCTGTTGGCACTGATGGCACTGCCTCCTTTATGCTTTCCCTATTGTATTTCTTCCCCCTGAATCCTCCCTCTTGCTCCCTCACACAGAGCACCATATACAACACACAGGGACCCTGGCCCTCCTCCTCCTGCTCTTGTCGAATACAGACACAATGACATTCCTGCTTCCTGAGATGCCACATCCAAATTAGGGAGAGGTGATCCCTTTATAAAGAGATGTAGGGTCTGGGATAAGAGAGGCTTCTCTAGCACCTGAAGGTAAGCACTAGGACCTATTGTTGTTTCTGAGGGGCTTATGATACAGGTACCTTATAATGGAGACGGAATTAGAATATCATACTGTCATCAAAGATTTCCTTTTCAATTATTTTTCAGACTCTCTAATATACATAATTAATATTATCTATAGTTTGGAATGGCAGGTTATTGTTCAGTTTAGTCCACTGCCTCAATCCCCTTTGAAGCTTTGGGGAGACAAAGACAACTCACTCGCTCTTCTGTGAGAGGTGCCGTGTCTGCTTCTGTTCTCACTGCAAGCTCGCAGCACAGACTGCATCTCTGGACAGAGGGACTGGCTCTGGGTCACTGGTACACAGCGAGCTTTAGCCTGCCCAGACCTGGCTGCTCTTGGCCAATTTTGTACCATGTCCTGCGAGCTCCCGACTCGGCCATAATCTGCTGTAATTGGTCATACCTGTGGTTCACTGAAGACGACGACATGCAAAAGGCGACTGGGCTCTGAAACATTTGTGCTGCTTGTGTATCCCATACTCAGCCCTAACGTCCAGGCACGAGTGAGCAGAACTGCTTCTCCTGAAACAAAACTCTCCAGTGCTGCCACCTTCTGGGGACGCTTATGCAGTGCAGAAACCCTAAACCTGAAGGGAAATGGGCTCACTGTATTTGTTTCTACAGGGCCAGCACACTCCACTGATTCACTCTGCAGGCCTGCACAACACCTGGTAAGAACTATCATTTCGTTTTCCGAAAATGAACAGTATTAGTTACAGTTATTCGCTTATTTTGTGTTCTATTCTTTTCGGAACGTTTTCTTATTAGTGCAGAAATGCTATTCTATGATCTCATACTGGAAGATTAGCCATGTAGATTTAAGATATCAGTCAATCCTGATATTCTGTATTTTGAAGTCCAAAAAGTAACCTTTAAACTTTAGAGATGACTTTGAGATGACCCAATTATGTTTAAGGAGTAGGAAAAGAAGCACATGACAATGAGTCAATTTCATTTGACTGGTAAATTTAATGGTTTAGCTATTAAAACTGTGCTCTTGTGTATAGTTCACCAAAAAATTGTTGTGCTTCAATTTTTTTAAACTACTTATCAATGTGAATTAAAGATTATTATGTGACAAGCTGGGTTCTGTCAGATAAGAAAGCTTTTGCAGGAGTGATGATCAGTACATGTTCATAATATACATACAGTATATTGTAATCCCTGAATGATAAGACTCTAACACAGCAGTGGATAACTCGGCTTCCTTGTGTTTTTTCAGACACCCTGTTGCTTCATTTGACCTCCTTTCTGTTTTAAATCATTTATATTATTGCTCGTTTGTCCAGGCTGGAGAGATGGAATAGTATCTTTGCTCTAAACAAAAGGAAATGTGTGTACAGTATATCAAGGCACTGGGCCCTTTCCAGTTTCCAGTGAATACAAGATTTTTACTTCTTTAGTACTAATATTACTTCTCATGAAAGACCAACAGAACAAATCGCTCAGTCCCTGTTGTTTCTGTACAGACGGGGATGTGTTTGTTACTGTATATCCGTACCACTTTCTTGAACAGCATCTGTCAGGTTCACCAGTGATGTGAGGCTGGGGATCCTTTTTGAATAATTTCACCAACTCCATTCAGTTCTGGTGGGCAGGGGGAGGTCACCTTTCATGATCTTGTCCTTCTAGTTATTGTTGTAAGACTACGCTGTCCGCATAGATTCTAGCACCAGCAACATCAAAAATGATCATGTTACTGAATGTGTCTCCCAGCATAGGGCATGTGGGTGAGGAGAAGGGATGAGCGGGGGGCAGGGGGTTTTGTGTACTAGCGTAGACACATGTACCATGGTTGAAAAGAGTTTAAAGATAGCAGTGGATCCTTCTACACTACAGTCCCCACTAACCCCACTGCTGTGTGACTTCATATCAGTCAAAAATGAGACCATAAATTTGTGTTTTAACACAACCAACATTAAAAACTCAGCTTTATTTGCCATTAAACTAAACAAAATGGTTTTACCATCGTAACAAAATGTCCTTGTAATGTCTGATTCTCAGAGACTTTGACAGGATGGGTGACGCGCTGATGGCGGAGTTCGGGGCCGCTGCCCCTTTCCTGCGCAAGTCGGAGAAGGAGCGTATAGAGGCGCAGACTCGCCCCTTCGACATGAAGAAGGAGTGCTTCGTACCCGACCCCGTGGAGGAGTACGTGAAGGGGTCGGTCGTCAGCCGCGACGGGGACAAAGCCACCGTCGAGACGGGGAAAGGCAAGGTACAACAAGAACAGGTCTTCACGTGTCTGTGCAAATTTTCTGCCAAAGCACGCAGTAGGATATAGAGAAACAACAATATTGTCTCATGCTTTACATGAGAAATATTGTGCAAATATTGCACATCATTTTGGTCTCCCAGTACAAAAAAGATGTTGCTGCTCTGTCATCAGTCCACAACAGAGTGACCAGGTACCTTCCCTGTCTTAAAGAAATGTCCTACACTTACAGGCTAAAAGAACCAAACCTATTTAATTTTGAACTTCTTGAAGACTATAACGGAACCCGATACATCCAATCAGTAGTGAAACATGAGTGTGTGACAAGTAGTACAGGCTTATAGGAGAAGAAGATTATCCCTAAGTTTTTTCATGAAATATTTAGATGTGATTCTTGGATCAAAGACCTTCTCTCATAGTCTTTGTCTTGTTTCATTTGGAAAAAATCTATGAAAAGCATAATTGCATTGAAATTCTGTACAGGGGGAGTTGCAGAACAAGCAAGCCAGTTGCTCAGTAAATCTCAGGAGACGAAAGCTGAGAGATCCCATCCGTCAATGCTCAGTGTATCCCAGTAGTGCTCAGCTTGTGACCGGGCAATCCCAGTAACAGGCAGCAGGTGACCAGCTAACCCAGGCTCAAATGGGCAAACACAGGACCCCAGACACAGGACTCACTCAGGGGCCCTGGTTGTAGGTTTTGACCCTATTGCTTGCTTTTGATGATGTGTCACAGAGATTATTCGAAAAATTATTAGAAAATATTTATTTGGGTTACAGAAAATCCTAATGCCGTCACATCAGTAAGTTCTTATTCTAATGCATTTGAATTGATGTACAGCATTCACCTGTCCTGTCAGGTGTTTTAAATGTTCAGTATTGTGTCCTAATTTGTGAAAGAACAGAATATCATTACCTAATGATTCAACTGAATTTTACATTGTGTTACCATATTTTCATCTATATGAACAACATGGCAAAATTATGCTTTACATTGATTTATCAAATGCCTTTATCCAAAAAGCACAATATATATGCACACCTACTGTGTCATTGTATCCTGCTTGCTATGTAGAGTTTTAGGATCTGTTTCGTTGTCTTCGAATGTGTACTGTAACTTGATTCTGTCTTTTTCAGACCGTCACTGTAAAGGAGTGTGATGTACACCCTCAGAACCCGCCCAAGTTTGATAAAATCGAAGACATGGCCATGTTCACCTTCCTGCACGAGCCCGCTGTGCTGTTTAACCTCAAAGAGCGTTACGCAGCCTGGATGATCTACGTGAGTAGAGTGCACCTTCACCCCTCTTCACACAGACAGGCTGGAGGGAGGGGAGATCCTGACCACTGCCTCTCTCCTGCAGACCTACTCTGGGTTGTTCTGTGTCACTGTCAACCCCTACAAGTGGCTGCCTGTGTACGACTCTGCTGTTGTTGCTGCCTACAGAGGCAAGAAGAGGACAGAAGCTCCTCCCCACATCTTCTCCATCTCTGACAACGCCTATCAGTACATGCTGGCAGGTAAAAGACTCTTCTGCAATAAAGTTTAGATACATATTATGTAACGCAATTCGTCCATTACCAATTCAGAATATGTTTCTATTTGACCTTTCACAGACAGAGAAAACCAGTCCATCCTGATCACGTAAGTTCATCTCATATTCTTCAATGGCTTCATGTTATAGTTTGGAAAAGCTCCATATTCAAAACGTTAACAATGGTTAAGGAGTTCGTCAAGAGACCAACAAGCTTTTTCTCCTTTCTGATTTCCTATTTCTCACTCTTGCAAATCTGCAGGTTGGTTTAAAGGGCATTTTCTCAAACAAGCTGTGAGTGAAGGCAGATGTGAAAGAGTTTGCCAGGCTACTGATTGACAAGTCTTCTCACAAGAACTCGTTTAAGGATTTAGAACTGTGGGATCATCTTGACATTTATTTGATGGTTGTTTAAGAAATGAGGGAAAGGAGCAATTTTTTACCTTCAAACAGGATTATAAAAATAAAATAAAGAAACAAGACCAGAACAAATACCAATACCAACTTGCACATGGCTATACGTCTGCCTATCCCAAAGCATGAACAGTGCCACACAGGACTCTAATGACACTCTTTTCAGGCCAGCTGATATGTAAACAAGCAGACACAAGTTCCATAAACAATAGAAATTAAAACATTTATCAGAATGTATGTACATATATGTTAATGTATGAATCTATGTTAAGTCATACGACTCACAAAATAAAACATTTATGTTATCCTTTCACATTTTTTAGCTTCTGTTCAAAAGCTAAAGAACATAAGAACATAAAAAGTATTTACATGATTAGTATTTCTGTTTTCTGAAGTTCCTCTGCTGATGAGACTGCTGTGTATAATTGAAAACATGTCTGCAGCGATGATGAGACTGGAGTGTTTCAGTGTGAATGAGCATCCCTCATCTTGTCTTGCCTGTGTCGGTGTCCCCAGTGGAGAATCCGGTGCTGGGAAGACTGTGAACACCAAGAGGGTCATTCAGTACTTCGCCAGCATTGCGGCTGTGGGCGGGAAGAAGGACTCAGCAGCGGCTAACAAGGTGGGAGACAAAAAAAAACTGAGCTCCCAACAGTACTGAGAAATGTCATAGCACCGAGCCAATTCACAGTGAGTGGGTTAAACTACTGTGTGAGCAGTAGTTTGAGCTCATTGAGTGTGACAGTGAGAGAACTGATTCTAGGCCCACAAGCACTAACCTCAGTAAAACACCCTGAGCTGGCTGCTCCATAGACAGCAGAGTCTGACACTGCCTCGTGTGTTTGCTTCCAGGGCACCCTGGAGGATCAAATCATCCAGGCCAACCCAGCCCTGGAGGCCTTTGGCAATGCCAAGACTGTGAGGAACGACAACTCCTCACGATTCGTGAGTAACCCCTCTGCTGCCTGAAGATCAGGAGACTGATGTACAAAATGCAATGCTGAAACAACATCCCAGGTCAGGAAAGCAGTCCTGGCTCTCAGTGAAGTTGATATTAGAGCTGACTTCTCTTGTCTCTCTCTTTAGGGCAAGTTCATCCGAATTCACTTCGGGGCCAGTGGAAAGCTTGCTTCCGCTGATATTGAGACCTGTAAGGAAGTCTTTTTTTTTAAATAAATACTAAATCCCTGTTTTATTTTTGTATTTGTTATGATGCACATGCTTGTTTTTCAGAAATGATCTGTTATGTTATTTGTGAGATGTTAAGTGTTTGTTCTAAGTAGTGTCTTGTGTTGATGTTTACAGATCTGCTGGAGAAGTCTCGTGTGACCTTCCAGCTCAAGTCTGAGAGAGACTATCACATCTTCTACCAGATCCTGTCCCAGAAGAAGCCAGAGCTGCTGGGTCAGTACTGCAGTCTATTCTCTAGAGCGTGAATTGCAGAGACTCACCAGCACCTGGACTGACAGTTGGGTTTTCTCTTCTTTAGAGATGCTGCTCATCACCAACAACCCCTATGACTACACCTATATCTCCCAAGGAGAGACCACAGTGGCATCCATTGATGATGCTGAGGAGCTGATGGCCACAGATGTGAGTGACAAGACTAAATGGCTCTGAGGTGGAATAAATACACCTTCAGGCTAAAGAGCTGTCAATGACACTTTGTTCACTCTCTGGTTAAGTGCGCTCAGTAGCATAATGGATTGAATCATTCTCTCCTGTCCTGCAGAGCGCCTTTGATGTTCTGGGCTTCACTCAGGAAGAGAAGAACGGCATCTACAAGCTGACTGGAGCCATCATGCACTACGGCAACATGAAGTTCAAGCAGAAGCAGCGAGAGGAACAGGCAGAGTCTGATGGCACTGAGGGTAGGCCTGGCTGCACTGAGCCACCTTTCATTACACTGTCTAGGGATGCTTACAAAAATCAAACAGTTTATTCACCAATAAGCCTGTTTCTTCACTCAAATACCAGGTCAAAGTGGAAGATTACTGATTGACAAAATCTGATTATATTTATCCCTGAAACATTTGTGTGAGCAGTCTGTCTCCTGCATGTAAAAATCACTGTATATGTTCAGTGGGTTGTTTTTGGTTTGGATGTCAGCCTTGTCAAAGCCCTATAATTAATGTGATTATTAATTATTAATATGATTAATTAATGTCTAAAAGATAAATATAAAAACTAATCTAGTTTAAATCTATTCCAGATGCTGACAAGTCTGCCTATCTGATGGGTCTGAACTCTGCTGATCTCATCAAGGGTCTGTGTCACCCAAGGGTGAAAGTAGGGAATGAATGGGTGACCAAGGGGCAGAATGTCCAGCAGGTGAGTTGCCTTATTTAGAGTCCTATCAATCCTGTTCTTTCACTTTGAGAATTTTATATTTGATTTTGTTCTTGCCTCTCATGCTTCTTTGATGAGTAATTTTGTTATTACCCTATTGTAGGTGTACTATTCCATTGGTGCACTGTCCAAGGCAGTGTATGAGAAGATGTTCCTGTGGATGGTGGTGAGAATCAACCAGTCCCTGGACACCAAGCAGCCTCGCCAGTACTTCATCGGTGTGCTAGACATCGCCGGGTTCGAGATCTTTGATGTAAGTGTTTGCAGACAATAAAACAGCAGTATTGTGAGATGACTATGTCAGCATCTTTTACTTAGGAGATACACTGCATTGCTTATTTTTCCTACAGCACATGCCAAAGGAAATCAGTTTGATGGGAAAGAAAGCATATATTTCATAAATCAATTCTTTGTTTCAGTTCAACACCTTTGAGCAGATGTGCATCAACTTCACCAACGAGAAGCTGCAGCAGTTCTTCAACCACCACATGTTTGTGCTGGAGCAGGAGGAGTACAAGAAGGAGGGGATCGAATGGGAGTTCATTGACTTCGGCATGGACCTGCAGGCCTGCATTGACCTCATCGAGAAGGTGGGCCATAGATATAGGTTAAATGTGTGGTAAGAGGAATTAAAGATCAAAGAGAGTCAAGAATTGCTTACATATCACCCAGCTTTCTCAACAATAACAAAGTGTTTCACCTGTTCCTTCCATTCCAGCCCATGGGTATCATGTCCATCCTTGAAGAGGAGTGCATGTTCCCCAAGGCCAGTGACGCCACCTTTAAAGCCAAGCTGTATGACAACCACTTGGGAAAATCCAACAACTTCCA